ACAAGCAAACACAAGTATGAGGGACATTAGGATGGCGTCAGGTGTAGGGATTGGAGGACACGGCGAGAGATGACGGGTACCGGAAAAAGCCACGGGCGCACACGACATGAATGTCTTGGGTAATATGAACTATAGTGTATGACTATGAGGAAGCCGTCGGGGTGAGGGTTTGCTTATTTGCTTTTATTTTGTCTTATACTATATATAACCTGGAGGAAGATTTTGGGACCACTCAGTAAGAGTCGTTGTTTGCTAGGTAGTTTTTGCTTTTATCACATTAAAGAGTCAAAATAATCCAACTTTTGATTTTGTATGTTCAAATTGACAAGGCATTACTGCACAGCGAGTGAATCTGATACTCGTGATTTACTTTGGGCAACAACCCAACCGTGTCACCCCCGTATAGTACAAAAAGAAAGATGCCGGACCGAACAGAGAACAGTGACGCGCTTTATAAGGAATTACGAAGTGTGTATGAATATGGTATCGGGTATTGTTGGGTTTTGGTATGTTTTGAAGATTAAGCAGTCTTCTTCCATTGGGTGTAGACACCGATAACACTGCTCAAGGTACCAGTAAGACCGACGATGCCGTCATCGAGGAAGGAAACCCATCCGAGACCGGAGACGGGAACGAGGATATCGCAAAGATCGCAGAGGAGTTGCTTCTTGGCGGCAGCACGTTCACTGAGGTAAATGTTAGGACTAATTTTAGAAGGTAAATGAGCGTATGTGAAACTTACATGGAGATGGTCTTGCTCTCAACAACACCCTCACCCTCCTTCAGATCAACCTTTGATGCGCGCACGCTCAGCTGTCGCAGAGTGTACAGCTGACCAATGATGCTAAAGGCGATACCAATAGCCCAGGATCTATAAGCCTCCTGCTGAAGGCGCTTGGCATGCTGCCACTTCCTGATACCAGCAGCATCAGGAATGGTGAGAGCATCGCAGGTGAGGTAACCAGCATAACCCAGCTGGCGACCGACCTGGGTGTACTTGAGGACGGGGTCGAGGGACTTGGAGTCGGAAGCAGTGGCAGCGGCCTTGTAGTGCTCGACGAACTTTCCGGCTCGGAAGACCTTTCGGAACAGGCCGAACTGCTTCTTGAGGGCGTTCCAAGGGGCGACCTTGTCGGGGGTTGCGTTTGTGCGGAGGAGATACCAGGCGTAGAAGCGGGCGAAGTACTGAAGAACTCGCATGAGCTTGTCGCGACCGAGGGTTGTGGCCATGTAGCGCAGGTAGTGCGCTACCGTGGGGTGGTAGACGAGAGCGTCAGCGACCATGATTGCGATGGTATCGAGTATAGGTAGAGAGAGAGAGAGAGAGAGTATGGTATGTGACAGTTGGAATATACGGAATTACGATTCACCAGTAAGAAACCAGCAATTACTGATGGTAAAAGGGAAGATGGAGATGGAGATGCAAAAGTTAAGTTAAGTTTTTACCAGGAACGGGTAAGAAAAAGCTGGGGAAAGGTAAGTAGGTAACGCGAATGGAGTCAAAGTGTCTGGAGTAAGGTAAGGTAACGCAAGTCGAGAGAGAGATTGAACGTGGAGACGGAGACTTGACCGAGATGCCGAGGTCCGCCGCTCACGAGAGCGGGATAGTTTAAGGGAAGGGGGAATTGTAGCGAGAGAGATAGGGAGGGATAAGGAGATCTCGTGCAAAAGAATTGCCTTTTTGGGTATGGGAATAATTGCCGTTTATGTTGGGAACGATAGTTTATACTGTTGCATCGGTATTCTATCCATTCATTCACTGCTCAGTATTAAAGGGAGGACGACCCTGCCAACTTTGCCAACCTCCATCACAGAGAAAGGGAGCATCAAAGTTGATGTCGACAGCCGGCACATGTCCGAGGCTTCATCAGGAGAGAATACCAAACTTCGGGGTAGCTTGGCGCCAATTCTGGCAATGCATTTCAACCTCGGGGACTTTCCGTAGGAGATTGGACTCTCTAACCTTGAGAGTTACAGCTGAACTGGCTGACAGCTGATAGAGATAGAGAGAGAGGGCAAGGAAGCTCCCGGCTGACCGGATAACCTTTGATCCGACTCCGGTCTTCCGCAGAGAAGAAGTCTAGGTTAAGTTACGGGGACAAGCATGCATGATATAAGTCGAGTCGAGTCGAGACTCAGTCATTCAGTCAATCAACCAATTGCCTCATAACCCCAAAACAAGGAACGAACAAGGTATGAGATAAGGCATCTGGTTCCCAATTTTCCATCCTCATACATAAATCTCCCCCCAAACCCACAATGAACATATCACTCGGTGTTTCTACTGAAGATCGTTGGAGCGTCGAGGTTCAAAACCCCCGCTTAAACGTCAACATGAGCGAGCCACCCCCACCGGGGCAGCCTGGGCTGGGCTGGCAGGGCCTGGAAATAGAGGGTCTCTCAGTGGCTGTGACGACAGCTACCAAGAGGAATCGTGATGCTGCTCGGGGAACAACCCCCGAAGTCTGCCTCCAAATTCGACCACTGTAAATTGTGGGGGAAGAAGTCGGAGTTGGAGACCCCGGGAAATCCTCTTGAGCCGCTTCCCCTCGGCCGGCAAAAGCACCAATTCCCTTCGGGAGCCCGCTATCAAAGGTCACGATGGCCCATGACATTCCGATATGATGCGCCCCCAATGGAGCTTTTTACGTATCATGGCGGTCCTCTCAGAGTCTCTCTCGGTCATGTTGTTGCGGGTTGAGTCCTCTCTCTCGCGGATGGGGCCGTTGATAACCCCAGTCGGCTAATGAAAGCATGTACCTAATAATGAATGAATGGATATCATTGATCGTCATATCCGTCAATTGTCGTCGAGACACGGACGGACGCGGTATCCGTAGTCAACGTACATAGAACTGTATTCCTTTACATAACTGGTCCCGTTTCCCCAATATTCGTCGCGTGCCTCTTCCTTTTCTTCCTCTCTCTTCTTCTTTCATCTTTCTCTCTCACGATACCCTCATACTATTCCCATCATAACTACCGTCTCTGTCGGCTTAAACCTTCTCCCGGTCTAAGTCAACCCAAAGCCGCTTCTCCAACTGCCCCTCTCGACGATCAACTTCTCCTCCTCTCATACCCATACTTACCTCACAAAACACATTCACAATGGCTACTACAAACAGCGGACAAGAAACCGAAAAGGTTAACACTAACATTGTTACCCTCACCCGCTTCCTCACTGAGGAGCAGGCCAAGCACCCAGAGGCCACTGGTGACTTCACGTACGTCGTCTCTTGTGATCCCAACTTCATGATGCCCGGCTAACAACGGAGAATCTCAGTCTATTGTGTCACGCTCTCCAGTTCTCTTTCAAGTCAATTGCCTACTACATTCGACGCGCTACCCTAGTCAACCTCACCGGTCTGGCTGGTTCTTCCAACATCACCGGCGACGACCAGAAGAAGCTCGATGTCATCTCCAATGACCTCTTCATTGAGGCCATGCGCTCATCAGGCAAGTGTGCGCTCCTCGTCTCTGAGGAGGAGGACGAGATCATCTACTTCAAGGATGCTCATGACGCTCACTACGCCGTCGCTTGCGATCCCATTGACGGATCCTCCAACTTGGACGCCGGTGTCTCAGTCGGTACCATTTTCGCTATTCACAAGCTCCCCGAGGGCTCCAAGGGTGTCAAGGAGGATATCCTGAAGCCCGGTACTGAGCTACTCGCTGCTGGTTTCACCATGTACGGCGCCTCTGCCCAGCTTGTCATCACCATGCGCGGTGGAACCGTCAACGGTTTCACTCTCGATAACGGTGTTGGCGAGTTCATTCTGTCTCACCCCGACATGCGCCTCCCCAAGTCGCGCGCCATCTACTCCGCCAACGAGGGTAACTCTCTGTACTGGGAGGACAAGACCATCAACTACTTCAACTCTTTAAAGCAGGCCCAAGCCGACGGCAAGCCCTACAGCTCGCGATACATCGGTTCCATGGTTGCCGATGCTTACCGAACTCTGCTCTACGGAGGTATCTTTGCTTACCCCGCCGACAAGAAGAGCCCCAAGGGCAAGCTCCGTATCCTGTACGAGTGCGCGCCCATGGCCCTCATCTTTGAGAATGGTACGTCAATTGAACCCTAGTGATTAACACTTTACTAACTATGCTTAGCCGGTGGCCAAGCTGTCGACAGCAAGATGAACCGTATGCTCGAGGTGGTGCCCGAGCACATCCACGACAAGGCCGGTATCTTCATGGGTAGCTACGACGAGGTCGAGAAGGTGAAGAAGTTCCACAGCTAAGAGGGAAACAAAGAGAATGGCGCTTTGGCATGGGATTATGAAATCAGTTAAATATCAAAAAGCGGACCTCATGAGTGAATGAGCATTTTAATGATGAATTTATCATATCTTCCATTTTTCTGAGCGTCATGCAGAGTGTCGTCATGATGAGAAGTCATGATCGTGAGCCATCATGGAGGCGGTTTAAACTGGGGACGCCACGCCACCTTGACCGTCAGGTCTTATCAGAATGGGTTACAGCGTCTTCTTTGGCTTGTCTCTATAGATTTTGAACTGCTGTATGATCACGGTCTTGTCTACTCTGGTTGGCACATAGTGTCTTGGTCAACATTCGCCTCACGACAACTAAACTCAAGCACCACAACCATGTAGAGCTTGCGCTACTCCTCTCCACGACGTAGGGCTCTAGGCTATATAATTACTCTGGCAGCGAATGCCCGAGGAACTGGTGGTTGATTGCTCAGTGATCGTCATCTAGGCTGCGTGACCAACATGCTTACAATGACTGCTCTTCGTGTAGCTCGAGGTCTCTCTGCCTTCTTGGCCCATGACTCTCAGTGTTGTCATGGTCACTGGGTTTAATATCCATATCCAGCTATTCTATTTCATATATGAATGAGTTAATTCAATCTTAGGCAGCTAGGACACGAAATGTAAATGTAAAAGCCTATATTATTTTCTGTCACTCTATGCCTTCGCGTGCCTTACTCCCAAAATGTAACATCTTCCTTCCCACAATCTGAAGATGATCACCAGTTAAGGCGATGAATACTTGTATCCAAATTGCTCCTTAGCCTTGTCCACGACCTCCTTGAGCTCTGCGCGTTTCCTCCTCGTCTCTTCTTCCACAGGATCCAATCCTGTCGGCTTGTCTTTGCCACTCGGAAGTAGCAAGCCCCGCTTCACAGCAGGCCTCTCAAGTATACGAGCAAGCCATGCCTTGACATTCGGGAACTGATCATACGAAATTGCTGTGCCTGGCAGGCGATCTGTCCAGCCGATCAGGGCGATATCTGCGATGGAGTAGCGACCTCTACCGGGTCCGACGACGTAGTCTCGGTCTGCAAGACGCTTGTCGAGGACCCCAAAGAGGCGCTCTGTCTCGCCAACATAACGCTGTATAGCGTATGGGATTTCTGGCTTGACACCAATGAAGTGGTTCGCCTGTCCTTCCCTGCCGATGTGTAAGTGTACCGCCTTGATGCTGATCCTCATGACTTACATAGGCCCAATTCCACCATGCTGCCAACCAATCCATGACTCAGCACGAGTATAGTCATCGTCATCAATCTTGAACGATAACTTATTCTCTGGGTCGTATTTCCTCGTCAAATAGCTTAGTATCGCGTTGCCTTCAAAGACAGCGAGATCGTTGTTGTCATGGTCGACAAGAACAGGGATACGGCCATTGGGGTTGATGGCGGTGAACCAAGGCTCCTTTTGAACATTGAGTCCAATATTAATGCCTTGTATGGTGTAATCTATTCCATATGCTTCGCGGAGCTCTTCGAGAAGGATATGGGCTTTGACGCCATTGGGTGTACCCCAGCTGAGGAGCTCAATGCCCTTGGAGGCGATGAGGCCAGTTGGTCGAGCCATTGAGTAGCGGCGTTTGGAAATTATGAAAGCAGATCTGAGTGGGTAATTGAAGTCTTGAGAAAGCTGTGGCCTACAAGATAGAGTAGAATGAAAGGAGAGAGACAAATATGGCAGTTTTATGGTTGAGCGTATCGTCATTGAGCGGCGGAGGGACGCCATTTTTCGCAGTGTGATTTCCAATATCGTGACTCGGGACCGACAAATCATCAATTGGTCATTTGCTCTTTAGATTTGGCACTTATTCTCTCGCAATGGGTTAGGCTTGCTGCCGATGTTGTCTAGGGAGATTCTGGCGTTCGGAATGTTTACTCATCCACTAAGCTTTGTAATCTTTGATTACCCTATAATGTGAAATCACCCAAACGTGGAGCCGTTTTTCGATGGCCTGCATTTCAAAGCGCAACGCAGCCGCCGCGGAATGAATGCCCTCGTGGTCCAGCCATGTCCAGAAGAAAGATTTGGCCTGCGGCACTCATAAAGCAATTCCATGTTGCTGTTTGACTGCTGCCAGTGGTTTGAGTTGCAAGTAATCGGCACATCCAATTCCTCAGGGGCGCTAAACAGATGGCCTAAGAACCAGCTGCAGTATGCACCCTCAGACATTCTGAACTTGCCCACCAACATCCTCTTTCAACTTATTTGTCATTCTAGTCAAATCTTGGATGAAACAACTAACAAAAGCATCGACACCAAAACATAACGAGTGGGACAGCCGCGCGGTAAACGACAGAATACGCCTCGCACGTTTCGATTTGACATTAGCCCCATTACCATGGCGCAATACGCAAGAAATGTCAAGGGATCGGCCCGTTGTTTCTCATCAGATCCTCACGAACATTGTTCAGGGTAGGTCCCAGATCAACGGTTGAGCTGGGCACGGGTGGAATAGTTTCAAGTAAATGAGAGTGTTCCTCAGTGGGTACAAGAGGGATACTACAGTAGCACCAGCATATGCGCAGCAGAGATGTTTATGGTATCTCGTGTACAGTTCTGTTGGATTCGTCGTTGCAACCGTAACCCTACGGGTGATCCTCCGATCCTTCTCGTGGTGGAGTTGCAGTTGGTGTTGGGCTGTGAGTTGATGAGTTAAGGGTCCCCTTTTGATCGTCGTGAGCTTTACCCCGAGAGATATCTAGACGCCCGCGACAGCTCCTCTGACAGAATACACTCCCCGGAGACGAGAGCCTGGAATCAGCAATCTAGGACTCCCTCGAGTCTCGAGAATAGCACTTGACGCGTCGTCATCAGTGCCTCAATCACAATACGATGAATGCAATGTTGCATCGAGACTCGCAACTAATCAGACGCAGACTCAACGCCCAGAGCACAGAAGCGCCTACGTCACTATCATGAGGTGCTAGCAGCCGGCAACCAGCATCAAATTGGGTTCTGACTTGTTTGGTCTGCGGAGCGCCCGCCTCAAAGCCAAGTTTCCCCTTCCCCACCCACCACAAACGAACGAGACCACTCAGCCTTGGAGCTGACGCCTGATGATACCGTAGGTACTGCACCCTTGGAACCGGTAGCCAATGCTCTTTGAGCCTGGCCCTGCAAGTCTTGAGTTCCATGGGAATAACACAAACACCACAGCCCTTACCTCGATATCCTGTCCAGCCTATTTACCCGTTCTGACTTATACTGGACTAACTGACTGACTTCATCACCCATTGGGGGCCATGCAGTGCAGAACTCTACAGCACATACAGTGAATCATTCTAGGCAAGGTGGTCCAAGACCCGGAAAGCAGGGAAAAACTCTCTCTCAGAAGCCAGGTTTTTGATCGACCGCTGAGAAAATCCCCGACAGGCTCGCGCTTAGATCTGTGATGTGACGTCTTTTCATGCCGCAGGGTCTTAACTCCAGTTCCCATATCTAAACTCCATTGCAACGGTTTCCCCTCCCTTGACGATGTCTTCAAACTTGTTCTTCTCAGAAGCGGCACAATGGACACAGATGCAGACATGGGGGATATCTGCACGCCTGAAGGATTCAAGCCGCTGATGCACTTTTGCTTTGACTTGGACGCAGACTTGGAACTTGGAACTTGGCTCTTGACCAACATGTCTCACAGCGGCTGGTTTCACCCCAAAAGAGTAATTCATTCTAAGTTAGCTGCCAAGGGTTCTTTGCTCACCATAGTGGACTACCCTTTCGTCCTTCTCGTCCCGCCTAAGCTCTGAAACCTCAGTGGAAGGCACTCTGACCAACATGTGCTCAGTGGCATAAACCGTCTTCCCTTTGAGTTCCCGGTCCAATCTCATTGGCACCTTCGCCTATTGAACTATACTCAGATTAGTTGTTCGACTTATCGGAGATCGCCAAGTAGTACCTTGGTTGTCGGACTAGCCAGCCTACGTACCGGACGGCATTGTCGTGGCTTCGGCTGGCGGCACCGCTAAGATCCGTCTCTGAGCCATAGGCGTGGAGTTAACTATCCATCACAGAGCGGCCGGTGAGTGGAGCGAGCGAGCGGGTTCGATTCGTCAAATGCGTATTCGTCGTAGAGGACATGGGAGTTGTCGTATTGAGGATACTGATGGTGATCAATGGCAATTAGTGAGTCCAAATAAGGCTCGCCGGTTCAAAACGCTCGAAACCTTAGAGTGCCATGGCGCCGACAAAAGCGCCTGGCACTAAACTTGGGTCAACAACGTCTCAAGAAGGCATTTCAAAGATTCAGATTGGTAATCGAAACCCCAGAGATCATCAAGACATGTGATGCAGCGGCATTACAAAGAATGTCCGGTACTTCTGGGGGCTGCTTCGCTGTTATCCAGCCCTGTTTGTATTCAGTTTAGACGGGAATAAGTCACATTCCACGCCCACCTGTCATTGTATCGCAGAGACATTCGATATGTCGCCATTCCTGGGGAAGCGGAACCGTCGAGAGAATGCCACAAGGATAAAGATAGAAAAGGCGGAATCACACGATGGGAAAGTCAATCTGTACTGCAGAGCACAGTAGCGGCCCCCAGGCGTGGAGGCGCAAGATAACCTTTCGTGCGAGGTGTAGACTACCCAGTAACTGCAACGGGCAAGATGTGAATCATAACGAGTATGCCTCATCGGTCAAAGCCGAAGGGGGAGCAAAGAATGAGGAAATCGTGTGCAACATACGCAACGAGGCAGAATAATGAGAGTGACTGCGAGAATTGGAGTGAATACGGGGTCGAGCTGAGCAGAGTACGAGCATGATGGATAGGAGAAGAGTATTATGATTCAAGGTGTTGCGATGTCATGTCAACTCATACAACGTTAAATTGCTGATATACAGAAACGGTATCAAGATTCGAAGGCTCAGGGGATTAGCAGTACTAAGGTATGCATGGACAAAGTCCCCTTGGGCTGAGGCTGAAGCTGGTGATGTTGTTAACAGGTTTGTATTACGACGATTTCATTCATCGTTGATGAATCTATCCATGACAGTTGAAGAACCAGGTACTGCATGTACAATGATGTATGAGTGTGTATGTGAGTGTGAGGGGTGGGCTGGACTCTAGGCTGCCGTCAATTCAGTGATTATCCGCTAGTTACAGCCTCAATTATGAGTGAATGAGTGAGTGAGTGAATGAATGAACTGGATGTCCCAATCTGTCGGCTACCACTCGGCGAGATTCCTATGCAGCCGTTTGTGTGTGGTTATGGTTGTGCCGCATTCGAAATGTCGATGTCAAGAAACAACAAACTGGTTGATCTGGATCTCAAGACCACCCCCCCTGTCTCCCCTGGTCCTCCGCCTTTTCATCACTGCAAAACGCTCTCTCCCACGTTAAACTGGCGGACATTGGCACCCCTGTTCGCTTCTCCACTTGGATCACAGGGCGGGGATGATCGAAGCAGGGGGTCACACCGAGTACGTACCTTGCCCTCTATCTTTAGGTAGTCCACCCTTGAGGTGATTGACCTGAGGCGCAGGGGATACAATTTGTTAGGGACACCAGCCTCAAGTCAGGCCAAGCCAAAAGACATGCATGCATGCACCTCTTTCCTAATGAGGGTGCCATGTTGCGCTCTCCAGTACCTCTACCAAGAAAACGTGGCGGAGTAGCTCTCTGATCAGTCTCCCCGTCTCCGGCTCCGACTCCAAGGAATAGGCCAGAGGCTATAAGGGAATGAACGCTGTTAATGGAAAATCAGAGTTTCCGTTTCCCGTTCCCGTCGAAATTCTTTCCACTCTCGCTCTAGTGCCTTGCTCTCGCTCGGCGATTGGGTTTGACTTTGGGTTTGGGTTTGGCCTTTTCTTTGCGAATGGAATCACTAGAGCTGTGCAAAATACTGCTGCCTATCGGGGCGCAACCCCAGACAAGAAGGCCGTTAACCTTATGACGCCAATCGCATTTCTCGATCAGCAAATCAATCGCGACAACGTGACTCGAATTGTACATTTGTTCTGCATTTACATGCCAGCCACCGGAGTAGCACTGCATTTCGCTCCGCTACTGTACTGTACTATACTGTATGTACAGTACAATCAATCAATCATCAGTCGTCGAAAGCTACGACGATAGGAGCAACAACATATTGCCTATTCCGTAGCGTAGTGTTTATTACCTACAAGGTAGCAGTAGCACTCTGCGCTGTCTTGGGATGGGTTGTTGATCACTCGCTGCAATGCACTGCCGTATTTCCCAAATTAAACCCGAGCCTGATCCCAGCGAATCGCCGATAACACAAGGTGGTGATGATGATGAACTGTCCCAGGCGAGGCCAGGCCAGGCCAGGCACGGGCTACGGGTACAACACGCAGCCTAACCCAGCATCGCAGCGTAGTGTCGTGGGTAGTAGGGGATAGCATGGTTGCAAGATTGCACTCGTGGGCTTCGCCTTGTGGTTGCGGCGGCACAGCAGGTTACTGTACCCAGAGGCCCTGTCTCTCCAACTCTAAGAGCATGGATTCACTTCCATCGGGAGGATCCGCATCCGCGAGTCTTGAAGCCAAGACAAAGGAAACAAGGGGCAGGTAATTTAATTTCATTTTTTGCTATTGTCGGGTTGCTCTT